CCTCTGTAGAGGAATGGATAAGCGAACTCTGTTATTTCTACTCCAAGGCAGTGGTTCTCAACCTTCCTATTGTTGCGACCCTTTCACACAGGTCCTCATGTGGTGGTGACTCCCCCAACCATAAAATTATTTTCGTTGCTACTGCATCACTGTAATATTGCTACTGTTATGATTCGTAATGTAAATATCTGATATACAGGATGTATTTTCATTGTTACAAATTGAACGTAATGAAAGCATGGTGATTAATCACAAAAACAATATGTAATTATATATTGTGAAATATTTATTTCTAATGACATATAAATGAAATTTTGTCTTGAAGCATGGTGTAGCATGGGTAACAGTCTTAATATCACAACAGTAAACTACATTGCTACATTTTGGGACAGTATGCGCAAAAAGCCAAGGTCAGGGTGAAGGTTGAGATAGCTTCTTTCTCACCAGATCAGCATATCTGCACGTGGGCGGGCCCGCCTGGAGAAGCTAGAGGAGCCATGTCTCGGTTCCTAAGACCATCAGAAATATCTGTTTTCCGATGGTCTTAGACGACCCCTGTGAAACGGTCGTTCGACTTCCTCCCCCCAAAGGGTCGCGACCCACAGGTTGAGAACCACTGCTCTGTGGCATACTGCGTATCCTTACAAAAACAATGATGAGTCTGCCAAACACCTCATGCCTTGGACTAAATTGTAGGACGTTATGCTCAACCAAGTTAGTCCATCTCACAAAGATAAATATATCATGACATGGTTAATACAAAGGGGAAAACTGGTTTTCACAGTAAAGGAAAAGACTTCGAAAACGATGACAAGGCTGAGGGTTGAGTGGTAAAGGAAGGGGGGATGGGGAGGGATGAGGGAGTAAGGAGGGAGGGTATCTGGGAAGAGCAAAAAAAGAGAAGGAACCACATTGGTGTGTGTGTGTGTGAGTTGCTGGGATACTGTCACTGTCTTGATGTGACAGGTTGTGCAACAGCATATAGCACATTTTTCTTTATATGTGCTTATTCCACAAGTAAAAGGTCAAAAATAAAAATGAATTACAAATAAACAAAAAACAGAGAAGGGTCAAGCCTTAAAAACCTTCCAGATTCCTTACCCATGAGATGTAAACACTATTCTGAGAGTTTTACAAAAGGAGGAAAAGTAAAATGGAAACTGACTTAAATTCTTTTGTGACACACAAGCTGGTTTCAAACAAACAAACATAAAAAACAAACAAACAAAAGGAGCTCTGTGCTGCTAACCTCCAGGTCAGCAGTTCTAACCCACCAGCCACTTTCATAAAAATGTACAGTCTCAAAATCCACAAGGGGAAGTACTACTGTGTCCCGTAGGGTCACTGTGAGTCAAAACGGTGTCTGTGGCAGTGAGTTTGTTTGACAGTGACCTTGAAAACATGGGCCCAGGTGCTGACGGATTTGCAGAGGTTGGTAGGCAGGTTGAGAAAGCAGTGGGGTGTTAGCGTGAAAGATATAAGGAAAAAGAGACAAGCGATACAGATGGCTCTCCGTTTCTGATTAGAAACGCTATTCCCGTTCTCTTGGATAATCCAGATCCTTCTCCATGTGGTGTTACTGCGACAACGGATACAATCCCACAGTTGTCCAATTCGTCTTCCTTGTCAGTAAATTTTCATGATTAAAAAATAAATATATATGTATGTATTAAAACACATCCGTAAGTTTATGTTAATGTTAATGTTCCCAATCCCCAAAGACAAAGATACTGATAATAAAAGGCGATGATAAGGGAAGCTAAAAATAATAACAACAACAACAACAACAAAAGTCCAGATATTCAGCTTAGGTCAGAACTGACTAATGAACGTTCATTGAAATGGAACCCTGGCATAAGTCAGGGGTTATCTGTAAACCCTGAACATTGAATCCAGTGGTTCAGACCCTAACCTGTTATGGCAGTTACATAATCTCCCTCACCTTGTGAAGGGGTGGAGTCTAACCTGTCAATCAGATCATAGCCAATGAAGCCTCTGTGTGGGCATGGCCTTCTCCTGAGGATTCTGGGAACTCCTATTTTCCTCCCTGGAGGTGGGAGACACACTCCCTGCTTCCTCTTCCTGCTGACAAGGCACATGGAGCTATGCTGATGGCAGCCAGAACCTTGGAGCTGGAGGAGCCACATGGAGACCCACACCAGCGCTAAGATGCTTCCACCGCCACTCGAGCCACAAGACTTTCCACCCACTGACCTGTGATCTTCCTGCTCAATGTCATTGCATGTGCTGTATGAGTCTGAAGAGGAATTTATAGACTGGTATCAGACATATGGGCTAATATAAGACTTATGGACTTGATCTGGACCGGGCTGGCATGTTTTCTCAATATACAATTGCTCTTTTATATAAAGCTCTTTTTTATTCACATATGAGTGTCTGTGATTTTGTTTCTCTAGTCAACCCAGACTGACACCAATATAAAACCAGTCTATTCCAACTCACATGAGCCCATGTGTGTCAGAGTATAACTGTGTTCCATAGGCTTGTCAGTGGCTGGTTTGGGGGCAAGTAAATCACCAGGCCTTTCTTCCAAAGTATCTCTGGGTGGACTTAGACCTCTGCCCATTTGGTTAGGAGCTGATCCCATGAGCCTTGTGTACTGCATGGAGGTTCACCTACAGACCTAACGCAGTGCTGATTTTGCAGCATCACACTGCCTTTAGTGAGGCAATTTTGCTGATCAGCTATATTGCTTTGCTGGCTGCAATTTTTAAAACATTGGCACGCTGGTGCCATAGTAGGAGCCCTAGTAGGTGGCGTAGTGATTACGAATTGGGCTGCTAACTGCAAAGTCAGCAGTTCAAAACGACTGGCCGCACTGAAGGAAAACGTGGGCCTTTCTACTCCTGGAAAGTTACAGTCTCGGAAACCCATAGGGAGCGTTCTATTCTATCTCCGCGGTTCACTGTGAGTTGGCATGACTTGCCGGCAGTGAGTTTTGAGGTGGTAGCATAGTGGTTATGCGCTGGGCTGCTTAGGGGGCAGTTCTGTAGGCTTTGCTATGGGTCAGAACTAACTCGATGGCAATAGGCGTTTTTTCTTAAGAACAGGAGAGCAACATGGATATTTTTAAACCTTAGCTTTACAAAGCCATCCTACAAACAGATCACAAACAGCTACATTGTTAATAAATATTCACGATTAACCCTCAGATTTACCGATCTTAAGGCATTATGTTTTATTCGATTGTAAAATGATTAGTTCAATGGTCTCACTAGAAGGGAGTCAATTTATAGTTTGGTTAGCTAAATTGATGTCCTTTGACATAAAAGCTATTCTTTAATTTTTAGACCCACAGTAAAGTTGGTTAGCCACCCCCCGCCCCCAATTAAGAATGTTTCAGAGTTAAACCTATCAGGATTTGATCGCCTTAAAACAATTTTATTCAATCCTCAGAATTATCACCAACCAGCCATTTTGAATTCATCAGTTCTCCGGCAAGTTGCAGAAGGCACCGATATTAATGGAATGTGGCAAAATGACCTTCGACCCCTGCTGATAGAGCGGTACCCAGGATCCCGGGGAAGCTATGCTGCCCGCCAGGTGAGCACACAGCACACGAGCTGCAAGGTGGTCAGATATCTTGTTTCACCTGAGGGCTAATGTTATGCCTAAAGCTCTGAGTGGCTTAATAGTCAGACGTGGTTATCTAACTTTATTATTCACCAAAATGAACAGTTGAGATGCCCAAGCAACTGGCAGAGACGAGGTGTCTGCCTAGAAATATGCGATACATGTGGGTCTAAATCAACGTGTGTGTGATTCTAGGTCTGAGGAACAGCAGCAGAAGCATCTTAAGTTCTTAGCTCCTGACCATTTCAAGGCCACTCCACTTAAGCACACAACAGCAACAGCCTTAAGCAGTCTTTGATGGACCGCTTCTGGCCTTGAACTTCTATCAGAACTAATCCAACTTCATTGAGGTTGAGTGGATTCAAATCCGTAGCTCCGCTATGGGACAGAGAAATATTGTCCCTTAAGGCTTCTTAGGCCACATCTTTCTCCCACAGAGCAGCTGGTGGATTTTGAACCAGGGAACTTTTGGCTAACCACTGACTGTTTTAACCACTGAGCCACCAGGGAGCCACCAGGGCTCCATTCTTTCTCTCTACAGAGAGTTAAGGTCAGGCACAAGCAGTGTCTCCAAAGCAGTGCTTCTCAAATTTCTGATCCTGACCCACAATAAATAAACATCTTTCATTTCACACGCATAAACTTGCTGACCTAATTACCTGACACAAAGGTTTCATGAAAAATATTCACCCTTATCGTCTGCAATTCACTGATAGCGCTACACGTTCGACTAGTTTAAAAAAATAAAACAGCCAGTCATGACCCACTCAAGTGGTTTCCAGACTCACCGGATTTTACCCCTGTGGCTTGGAAGACACTGCTATGAATAATCCTGAGTCCTGAAAATCTCTTTGTCTTTTTAGGGTGAGTCTTCCCAAGCAATCTGAAACCTCTCCTCCAAATGTCTGGGTTTTTCAAACCAGCCCTATCTCCAGGGGCAGCATAGGAAGGAGTGGGGTGAGTCTGGTCCCTCCTTTGAGTGCCCTCGGCCAGCTTACCTCCTTGGGTGAAAGATCGGGCACCCTGCAGCCAGAGGGACTGTTTCTGGAGTCAATTGTTGATTCTTTGGGGACTTTCATGTCAACGTAAACATCAGACAGGAGGGACACTACGCGATTTGAAAAGTGAATCTGTGTGGAGAAGATGACTGCAGCTGAGCAGAACTATCAGCTATAGCTCCTACATCCCACTTCACTGTGAACTTGCAGGCTGCTATTGGGGTTGAAGATCTTTTTATGGAGATGTTTATCATCTGGATACCAGATGTTCTGGATCATAAGCTTCTTCTTCTTCTTCTTCTTTTTTTTAAGATGACCTCTTTTTTTCAGTCTGGGAATAACTCATTTTAATATTCAGCAAAAAAGCTCATTTCAGATGCACAATTATATCTTTCTACTCAAGCTATGTTATGTTCTGGAAATACACCACTTTATATATTCTAATTGAACATTTTATTAGTTCAGGACAACCCCTGTTTACTGATAATCCATCGAGAGCAATGCGTAGCACTAGGGATTGTGGAGAAGAACAAAGCGAGTGAAGCATAAAGACTGATGTCAGGAAGGTCACACACCTTTCTCATGAAAAGGGTAGAAAAGACGAGTAGTGGAAGATGTAAGTACTGCGTGTTGGTGTGGTGGGAGCCGCTGATTCAGTTCTGACTCACAGCAACCCGGGTGCAGCAGCAGGGACACACTGGCGCTCCTCCAGCCTCATGCTCATCGCTACGTTTCAGCTCCTTGTTGAGGCTGTTGTGTCTGTCTGTCTGTCTCCTTGGCTAAGGGTCTTCCTCTTTTTCTCTGACCCACTACTTTGCCATGTCTCTTCGCCAGGGACTGATTCCTCTTGGTAACATAATCCATGCGATCAGTCTGTGCAGCGAAGCTTCCTTACATCTAAGAAGCTTTCTGGTTATACTCCTAAGACAGATTGGTTCATTCCTCTGGCAGTCCCTGGTCTATTCAGTATTCTTCATGGACACTCTAACTCAAAGGCATTTGGGCTTCTTTGGCCTTCTGTATTTATTGTCCCCCTTACACATGCATAGGAGGAGATAGAAAACACCATGGGCCAGATCCATTAAAGTGACGTCTTTGCTCTGGAACCCTTTGAGGAAGTCATTTGCCGCAGATTTACCCAATGCAACGCACAGCTTGATTTCTTTTTTTCCCTTTGATTTCTTGGTTGCCGCTTCCATGAGGACTGATTGTGGATTCAAGTCAAATGAAATCCTTGACAATTTTCAGAATTGTCTCATTAAGGCACTGTCTAAGCATGCATGTTTAAGCCAAAGTCCACTTTATTACAGAGACCAGACAGCGAATAGCTGGGGAATTGTTTGTTTATTCCAGTGTTTGCAGGATTGAGTGTGGAATTGGTACCCACCCTTAAGTAAGCTGATCCTTGCAAGCTTCCTGCTGTTTTTCCCAGGGCCTTTGCTACGTGTCCTGTCTGATTATCAAGCCGTAGTTAGGATAGAAAATCCTGAATTTCCTTGGGGAGAGAAAAAAAAATCTTGTCCTTGTTTAGCACTGTAAATTATTCATTTAATCATCTCAAGATTCATCTCCACCAGATTAACTTAGGAACAAATTGCCTGTTATCTTGATGGTTACTTTTTTATTCTCCTTGATCTTAAAAAAATTAAGGCTTTAATTACAAAGATGCATGTAATAATTTAAAATAAAATAAATGGAATGTGGTGAGAAAAATGAAGCAAGCTAGAACAAAGAACTCACTTGTAATTTTTCATCCCACACATTGGAGGTTCTGAGGGAGCACCCTTCTGACCCCTGGGTCGTGCTTTTTCCTTCCATCAATCAGTTGCATGAGCTAATGAGGCAGGGAAACGGACTCTCTGTTATTTGCGCCCCCTGTGCTGGGGCTCTGGACCAACCTGGGTACAGAGGAACACAACTTGCTGCAGTCATTTGGGTTCAGAGTTTGTTACCCATTGACACCCCTAGTGAGCAAGGACTTCAGGTACCTCTGAGCCACCTCCTTGATAGGGGGCTTGGGCTTGCTCTCTCTTATTCTTGACAGGCGAAGGTCAGGCGAAGGTCCAGCATTCATTACACTAGAAGTACTTGCTGGACTGGGGGCACAGGCTTTGTGTTGATGACAGAAAAGCCCCATTCTCCAAAGAGCTTCAAGGGGGTTGAGATTGATAGGGCCCTGATCTAGCTGATGTATCAAATGCTCCTTCCCAGTTAACCTTCTAAAAGTGTTGAAAGTGGACTTTACCACACACCGAACTGCGTCCCTCTAGCCTGACTTGTGGGAATGTCCATGAGACATTGTGGAGGGAGAAAAGCCCAGGGCAGACTAACCTGGAACGGAGGCTTGACCAGCACACCTCACTTGTACCACTCTCACCAGGGTCTTGTGTGTTGCTATGATGTGGAACAGGCTTTTGAGGAGCTTCCGCACCATGCTGCACCAGGAAGAAAGGTCGGGCGATCTACTTCCAAAATTCAGCCATTAAACACTCCGTGGAGCACAATGTTCCAATCTGGTGGTACATGGGGTTGCTACGAACCTGGGTCCAGCTCGACAGCAGCTAACAACCACCACCCAAACCATGTTTTCATTTTACTTGAACCCACAACCAACCCTCACGGAAGCAGCAACCAAGAAATCAAATGGTGCGTCGCATTGGGCAAATCTGCTGCAAATGACTGCCACCAAGTGTTACCAAGCAAAGACATCACCTTGAGGCCTACGAAGTGCCTGGCCCCACATGTGGAACTGGTTCTGGTTCCTGAGCGCCCCAGGTGCGACAGAGTAGAAGTGTTCCTTCAGTTTTCTTTGCTCAGTCTTTACAGAAGCAGATCGCCAGGCCTTTCCTCCGTGCTGCTGCTGGATGGGTCCCCACTGCCGACTGTTAGTCGTTGAGTGCAAGCGTCTGAGCCACCTAGAGACTTGCCGCGGCAGCATTCCTGTGGCCACATCAGCCTTCTGCCAACTGTGTGTTTGTGTGCCAGAATACGTTTGGATAAGTAAAGAAGAGGGTGTGCAAAGAGACCCTGACCATTACCATAGGGAACCCAGGGGCTGAGACTGATTGGTAGGAGAAAGGTTAAGGGAGGAAGAGGATTCGCTTTTCCTTTAAACAGCTTTGTTCTTAATACGATAAGCGTGTATTGCAATTTTGATTTGAAAGGTATCACAGGCAACATAAAACCACACTTAACAAACTGAAAATGTCTGTCTGGATCATAACTTTTGTTTTGTTTTGTTTTGTGTTTCATCAGCACATCATGAATCGAATCCAGAGACTTCAAGCTGACTGGGTCTTGGAAATAGACACCTTAGTAAGTCAGACGCCCTATGGATACCGATCATTCTCAAATATCATCAGCACCCTCAACCCCACCGCTAAACGACACCTGGTCCTCGCCTGCCACTATGACTCCAAATATTTTGCCCACTGGAACAACAGGGTGTTTGTGGGGGCCACCGATTCAGCTGTGCCGTGTGCAATGCTACTGGAGCTTGCTCGAGCCCTGGACAAACAACTCCTTTCCCTGAAGGTATCTGCTTTCCTCTGGGAGATAACTTGGGATAAGATATTTTAGCATGAACTCAGTGAGCTCTAGACTCCGGGGTGGGGGTGTGGGCATGTGTGGATTGAGTAGGCCATTTAGGAATGGAGCCTTAAAGTGTATTTTGTACTAGTTTGTTATAAAATGATAAGAGGTTGAATGACTATTCATGGGAGCATTACATTATTTGAAATTTCCACCATGGGTGATAAACTGAGGATGTATGCCCATGCATGCCTTCAATGGGACCTGACACCCCAGTTTTGACTATGTATCAAGTTAAGTGCAGCCTTTGGGGAAACAGAAGAAGGTGGAAAGTTGGTATGGACGTGTCGATGAGAAACGTGCTGATTTCTTCTTGTTTCTTCGGCCACAAACACTGCACACCTTCAGATTGGAGAGATGGTAGCTCTGGAGCGGGCGGGGGAGTGGGTTGCTGCCAAGTGGTTCCTCAGCAGAGAGTGGGTAATTCAGACATAACAAGATGAAAAGCGGGGCGCACAGAAATGCAGTATGGCTCCTATCTGCGAATCTCGGCTCATTTTATGTAGCATAGCAGAGCTTTTGTTATGCTCTCAGCCCCACATACTTCTGGGCCTCAGATGTTATTTCAGCCTCTGTGTCCTTAAAGGCATATTGGGGGAACGTGCTACACCAGCTGAAGACATTGTGTTCTGAGATCCCTCACAATCAAGTAAACACAGCGAAGCAAATCCAAAAACTTTGTTCGCGGGGCAATATTTTCTTTCTAAGCCCTTTATGAAGAGTCTCGCCTTTGATACAATGGGGTAAAGAAGTGAAAGGTTTATCTTGTAATGCAAGTCGTAGAGATATTTGGTTCTATTTTTGCGGGATATGCAGAACTGGAAGAAAACAAGAAATGTTTATAACCTCCTAGTATCATTTTCATGGTTTCTTTTTTTGGGCTTCTGTTTTGTTTTCTACACCTTCTATAATGTCTTTGTCCCACATGCTGCCCCTGCTTTTCATGAGTACTCTCCCCCCAGCAGTTGAATGAAGGAGTCCGGAGCTGATGTAAAAGTTTCATTTTACATATTTGTATTCCTACTACCTAACCTCATCTGTCCCTTTGCTGTCATGTGGTGACTCTCATGGAACTCTGATGCTGCAAGCTATTCCATCAGTATTTGAAATTGCCAGTGGGGTCACCCAGAGTGGACAGGTTTCAGCAAAGACTTAAAGACTAAGGCAGACTAGGAAGAAAGACCTGGAGATCTACCGAGAACCAGCCAGCGGAAGCCCTGGGGAGCACATCGTGCTGGAAGATGACCTGTCCACCCTGGAAGGCACTCAAACTAGAGAATGATTCCAATGGGGGGCTTGAGCACACAAATGATGGTGAAGATGGTTCATGTTGTGCAAGGGGCTGCCATCAGCTGGAGCTCACCCGACAGCAGCGAGCAACATAATAGTTCTAGTGAAACGGCAGGAATGAAGTGCATCTTAAAGGCACGGCTTTGTGTGGTGAGTGGGTTTTCTCTTGGTGAGCTCCTTCACCTTGTTCCACATGGTGGAACCTTTGATGACCATATACAGAAAGGATGGAATGAGCTGTCGGGGTGTGTGTGTGTGTGTGTGTGTGTGTGATCGCAAGCAGAGAACTCAAGTCAACATGATTCTCTCCATGGCTCTTTTTAATAAAAGGAACCGTGATGTGGAGAATTAAAACAGCCACCACAACAACTGGTTTTGAACCCAAATTGGCGAATATCAGATTTGTTCTTCTGGTGGTACTTAGTGTTTGAAGTTTCTTCAGCTGTCATGCATTGGGGGTACAGTGCCCTAGCAGAGGGCTGGGTACACACTGAATTCTTGTTCCAGCTCTCTTCTGCCCACTCCCTACTTCAGGAACAGGATTGTAATTGTCCAACCTTGTCCTTGGGTGTGTTGTTTGCTCTTTGCACTGTAGGGCTTCTCTTGGCGAGTTCCTTTATCTTGTTCGGTAGAGGTGGAATTTATGGTGACCGGGAATTCCTTGGCTGCCATTTCTTGCTAACTGTAAGATCAGCAGTTCGAAACCAGCAGCCGCCTTGAGGAGAAAGATGAAGCTTTCTGCTCTTGTAAAGAGTGACGGTCTTGGAAGCGCACAGAGTACTTCTCTTCTGTCCTGTCGGGTCAAGGAGCAGGCATTGACTCAATGGCAGCGAGGTCGGTTGGTTTGGTGGCCGATGGCATGAGTAGACGCAGTTCAAGTAGAGGCTGGAAATGTGCTTGTGTCATTAGGCTTGCTTTCTTGCTAAGAACTCCATGCCCTGGCTGGCACGCCAGTCCCAAGAGGAGGTGAGACATGCAGCGCAGAACCACCTTCACTGACTGCAGAGGGCCGAAAGAAGAGCTGTCTGCCCCAGCCAACCTCAGCCTAGTAGGTGTCCAGGTAGCCCACAGACCCACTATCATTCCGGGTACTTTACTGTATCTCATTTTGGTGGCACTAACCAACAGGGTTGGAACCCTGGTGGCTCAATGGGTGGAGCCCTGGGCTGCTGACCACAGATGGATGTTTCAGACCCACTGGCTCCTCCCTCAGAGAAAGGCTGGGCAGGCTGCTCCCTTAAAGATTCAGTCTCAGAAACCCTAAGGAGCAGTTCTGTGCTGTCCTGGAGGGTCCTTTAGAGTCTGGATAGCAGAGGGTTAGGCTTTTTTAACCAACAGGTACACAGTGGGCTGGAGTTATTTCCCTGATTATGGGAAGGAACACTGGTTACTGGAATTGGAAGACTGTCCCAAATCAGGCCAACCAGAACTTCCTAGGCCCAAGGTATTTGCTTGAGTTACTGGAAATTGAAGGCCATGACCACGTTCTGGACAATTCTGAAAAGAAGCCAACCAAGCAGGTTACCCCGTGGGACCAAGCCAGCAGGAGATGCACATGGCCCCGTTTGCCACTTCTCTGGTTGCGAACAGAATACTCATGCTACCTGGTCCCCAGCAGTCTCTCCTGCTCACGTATTCTATGATTATGCTGTCTGATTAGGAGCCAGGACCTTCAGACCAGCCAATGCCCTTCCAACCACGGGAACCTTAGAGCATCTCTAAGATGTTGTAAGGTGCTTTGAAGTATACGTCTTACAGCTTAGAAACGATTTTGTTAATGAGAAAACCTGGGTAATTGCTTCATGTTTATTAAACCCTGAGTGCATGGGCTGTTTTACAGGCCAACACACCCTGTGCTTGATACTGTCAGGCATGTGGGAGACTCAACATATTGTTCTTTTTCTGTGCTCTCATTAAGGAGCAATAATAAGACAGATGAAATAATTGGCATATGGCAGTAACTTTCAGTTTTTGATCCAGAGAGGATTTTTTATCTTTATTGTGAAACCACTCTAAAATACTCAAGATCACTCAATTTTTGATGAAACTAGGAGACATTTATATTTAGGAACGACACTGAAGACAAAGGGGGTTAGGACAATGGAAGAGGGCGTATCAGAGCAGAGCACGACCACACTTTCCAGAGAGAGGGACAAAGGGAGATGAAAGCGGACAAGCTGATCCCCTGACAAAACCTGGGAAGGCTCAGCGACTCGAGATACCAGAGTCCGAGAAAGGCAGAGGGGAGGCAGGGGGCTGGGACAGGGGTTACTTATAAGTTAAAGGCGCACTTAGCTAAATAGATCCCTGCTTCCTGGTGGTGGTGGTGCAAATGGTTAACACAGTGGGCTGTTAACCCCAAAGGTTGGAGGTTCAAATCCACCCAGAGATGCCGCAGAAGAAAGTCCTGGTGATTTCCTTCTGAAACAACAACACAGTTCTACTCTTCGAGCCTCACGGTTACCATGGGTTGGCATTAGCTCAGTGGCAACTGGTGTGGCTTGAGCACCACACCAAGCAGGTCGATAAACACTCTAACTATGTCCTTGCAGATGAGAGAATATTTTCCAGGAGAGATTGAACGAGGCAGGTTCTGGGCTTGGGGGCATCAGTCATCAAGGAGGGCAGTTATGAAGGGCCGCCTCGTGAAAACCAATGAGATGAAACCACAACCCACTGCTGCCCAGTCAGTTATGGGTCATGGACAGAGTAGGACCATTCTGTGAGATTTCCAAGGCTGTCATCGTTGTGCTAGCAGCCTGCCACATTTTTCTTCTGCAGAGTGGCTGGTGGGTTTGAATGGCTTCAAAAACAGCTGAGTGCTTTAACCACTGTGCCACTAGTGAGATACCCCCCAGGTCCCCTCTTTCTCCTATTTTAATACCAGAAAGCCAGCCACAGGTCTTCCTCATCGGACAGGAAGCTGAGGCTCTTTCTCTGGGCACTTGCAGCACCTCAGGGAGAAGACCCATAGGCATTTGGGATGCCTCTGCGATTACTCTGACTGGGCGCTTGGCTGCCGGCCGGAACCCCAGGCAGTTGGGGTCGCCAGCCAACCTTTAATATGAATGAACACAAGGGTGACCAGACATTTGAGGACAATCCCTACCAGCAAGGAAAGAACCCCACACAAATCATTCAAATTGAAAATAGGAACCAAAGAAGAGAACTTCAGAAACACCATTTTTTTTAATCTGAGGGAAGTTATATCTACCCAAAGGAATGCTACAACAGAACAACAATCAGAATAAAAAACAGCTTTTGGAAATGAGAAATACAATAAAAAAGAATCAAAATAGCGGCATGCTGTGAAGTGGTGACTCTCCTTTGTCCTTGATTCTTTCTGGCAGACTAACATCCGAGGCTTGTGAATGGCGAGCAGACCAGACCAAGAAGGAGCACCTTGGGACTTGATGCTGCTTAAACCTCAGGGGCCATGATGTTGTCTATCATGGCCACTTGGAAAACCTTTAAAATCCTTGAGACCCACGCCTCAGATGAGGAGCCCTGGTGGTGTAGTGGATAACCCATTGGGCTGCTAACCACAGGGACAGCAGTTTGAACCCACTGGCCAGCTCCCTGGAGGAAGATGAGGCATTCTGCTCCCTAAAAGATTTACCATGTAGGAAACACAAAGCAGGCAATTCTGCTCT